TTCACCACCACAACAAAAAAGAGTAAAGGAGCTCTAAATCAGTCTATCCACAGCTGCTAGAGGAACCTTTTCTCACCAGCTGTACTCAGTAGAAGGGTCCTATAAGGTCAGCAGGACGGGGGAGCACCTCCTTTCCCTTCGAAATTAACTTGGGTTTGCTGGCATCAATGAGTATGCTGGGGTGTCTGACCAAAGAGATGACGCTGAATAGAATCATTCCAAACCATCAAGCAACCCACAACAAATCAGGTAGCCAGAGGCCTACCAGGTTTCTACCTCGAAGAAATAAAAGGGCTCATCAATTTGGTGAAAGCTCCTCTCCGCCCGGGCTAATAGTTTTTAGGTCTCATCTCTTTGCAAGCCAATCAATGAAGCCCTATATCTTCACTGAACCAACTCAGCTGTCACCTCCTCCGGAAAGTCTGCCCTGACCCGCCTCTGCCTAGATCGGGAACCTCCCTTGGGGCTCCATCTAGTGCCGTCCTCATCACCCTGCTGGGCTCCGGGGACGGGCCGACAAGAGGACCGACACCCCACAGTCCTGTAGCCGTAGCGGGGCGAGCACCCAACCCGGAAACAGCGGTCACTCACCACTGCAGGTGGAAGGTGTGGCCGCAGTGGATGGCGGCCACATCGCGCGAGTGGTCGAAGAAGTCGGAGCAGATGGTGCACAGCGCACGGATAGGCATGATGACTGGATTCAAGGGGCCCAGGTAGCCAAGAAAAACGCGACAAGTCTTAACCGCTCCGTACCGCCTCGGCTCACTTCAAATTTGGCTCCACGGCGCGACTTCCGGGGCCGAACCGGAAGTGGTAACACGAGACTCGGGGGCGGAGCCTGAAGGTTGGGTCTGGGTTGGACGAACTTCCAGGGGCGGGGCCAAGTGGCTCTGCGGTTAAAGAGAATCCTGGAGCGGATCACGGGCCTGAACCTGTCAGCGGTAGTGCTCTGCGGCTCCGAGGAAGACAGCCTGTACCGCAAGAGCGCATCGTTGGATTGGGACCAAAGCAGCTACGCCGCCCGCTGGGCCACTTTCTAGAGCAAGACAGGTCGCTATGGTCCCAAGCCAGAGCTGGTGAGAGGAGCGCCAGGCTAGGGCTCCTCAGCCCTGTCCTCTCCGGGCAGCCTTCTCTGCACTTCGGGAGAATCAAGAAGGCAGCAGTAGGGAAATGGGACCATGATAACGGCTGGAGAGCGGCTCCCCTGCTCCCTGGGCAGTGCTGGACCATACAATGGAAGCCCACAGTTCCCACAGACCAAAAAAATGCTCCACCCTCTCAGCCTTTGACTCTTGAGTGACCCTAGAAAAATGGGCACGGGACACCCAAAGCTCACCTTGGCTTTATCTAAGAAAGGCATGACTTGACGATCCTTAAGTTTGGAGGCGGCAGGGCCAGTACCCTGACTTTAGCTCTCAGCTCCCAGGAGGATCAATTATGCCTCTGGACTGTAGTGGGGTTGGAATTTTGGAGGCCCAGATGTTGCATAGACAGGTGACTAACCAACCCTTTCTCTTATTCCCACGTAAGAGAAATTAACTTGGGGTCTTCCTTGAGAAAGCGCAGCATCCCTGGTGAGTTTACCTGGACCCGCGGACTGGAAGAAGTCTTCTTAGGAGTTTTAAGTTAACTATTTTTAGCAGTGTTACACCCCTCTCCCCAGAAGAAACCTTATGCAGAGCCCCATAATATAAAGCTGATATGTTCTACCTGAAGGAGCCCTGAGTGAATCCTCTGCGCCTATGTGGAAAGCACAGATGTCGTTCCCAGAAAGGAGGAATCATCACAAAAGGCAGCATAGAACATTTGTGCAATGCCCACCCTGCCCTTCTCCTGACCCAGGGAAGCCCACTTTGGCCATAGGCAAAGTCTCTCCCTATGGTGGCTGCTCTTTGGTGGGTTCTAGTTCTATACCTAAGTTAAGACCAGTGCTCCTTGTTGAATAGGACTCTTCAGGACATCAGCCCAGTTATTCGTTGGCACAGGTTCAGCACAGGACCCACAACCCACACAGATTACTAGAGTCCAAAGGACCCTGCCACTACCACCAAGGAACACACTGTGGTGAGGATGATCTGCATCCTTAGCCCAAGCCACGTGGCACTGAGCACAGGCCACTCACTGTGAACCTGCTCCCAAGCCTCTCCCCTCTCCACTGCCTTCCAGGGGCCCCTCCCCAGTAAGACAGAGGAAGAAAAGGCGAGAGGGTGGCCAGAGGCTTTGGCAGGGTGACATTTATTTGCCAGGTTCAGCAGGCACACATTTAGCCCACTGACCTTTGTACACCAGAGCAGACCCACAGGCATGCAGGGAGAAGGGTAGGACAGCCACCAAAGTGCCAAGCTAGGGCTGGGACCAGTGTGGCTGCCTGCCCAGGATGTGGTGGGGTCTGACAAAGGGCACCTTCCAGAAGCCTACATCAAGAAACCGGGGAACCTTATTCCATTCCCTCATCCCAGCACAAGCAACTCAGCATGGCTCAGGGGCATCTGGGCCTCTCTCTAAGCCCCAGTAGAAGGGGAAGTGGGTCAAAGATATAAAAGGGGTTCCTCTCTATTTTGTTGTCGAAGCAAGAGAGAGAAAATCTGCCCCTGTGGTGGGCAAACCCCCAAATCAGACTATGGGACTGCCATGCGACAGTCCCCCTGGGATACAGAGGACTGAGGACTGATTCTGAGGGGGGCAATCTGGGAAGAGCAAGGGGTATCAGCTCTCCCTGTTCGGCCCAGGGAAAGGACTGGGCTAGGCTGGTGCACCGGGTGCTGGGCCACACTCCGCCCTCCCAGTTCTCATTGCCAATTGCTCCTAATTGTTCCTCTTTCCCCATAGAGGCTCATGGACTCAGAGCTCAGGCAGACCACTGCAGGACCCAGGAGGACAGGAAATAGCACAAGTGTCTTGGGAGGGGCTTCTTAGAGACAAAGATGGAAGCTTCTACCCTCCTCATTCTTTCTCACTTCTGAGGACTCCCACAGCTGCCAAGCAGTACCCCCAGCCATGCAACCAGTCTGTCTTAAAGCATACTGCCCTAGATTTTTGCATTCTCTATACCAGCCTGTGTCTACTAGAACAGTCCACATACCACAGGCACATACCTTCATGTGTAGGAGCCTAAGACCGCTGACAGGGCCTCGCTGGAGGACCAGCTCTCAGGGCAAGGCCACCCAAGTTTAGGGCTCGGGACAGAACGGGACCTACAGGGCCTGCCTGGGGGAATTGTGAGGCAAAAGGGGAAGGGGAAGGGGGACTGGGACCTCCTGAGTATCCCTAGAGCAGCATCCCACAAGGAACAAAAACTGGTGAAGCTAGCGAAAGACAGAAAAGCCACGAGGAATCCATGCAGGGGCTGGGGCCGGTTCTGCCTCTCTGGCCTGCCCACCACGCACGCACATACACACAGGAGATGAAACTGCTCTCCCGTGGCCCCCAGACATGCCCCACGCTGGGAGGTAGGGGCTGGGGGTGGGGAGCGAGGGCATCATGCCAGTGACTCTATGTACAGTGAAAAGCCCCTCATCCACTCTCCCACCCTCCTGCCCGTCCCCTCACACCCCCCCACCAGCCTGCCCACTCAGCTGGTCTCCTCCCTTCGAGACTCCTGGGCAGAGCCAGCAGCCTCTTCCCCTTTACTAGAGGGTGGAGCCTGGCCTGTTGTGCCCCCTGGGGCTATGCTGTCCGCCTGGGCCACAGCCGGCTCAGGGGTGGCAGCTGCCTTGGTGGCCAGTGTGGCACTGCTTTGGGTGGTGGGCACAGTGCTCTCTTCGGTGGCTGGCGTGGCTCTCCCATCAGTGGCTGGAGTCGCGCTCCTGTCAGTGGCTGGAGTGACACTCCCATCGGTGGCTGGGGTGATGCTCCCATCGGTGGCTGGGGTGACGCTCCCATCGGTGGCTGGGGTGGTACTGCCATCTGTGGCTGGGGTTGCGCTACGGTCTGCGGGGGCTACATTATCGCCCTTTGCAGCAAGAGCAGCATCACCTGTTGTGGCTGAGGTGGCACTGCCCCCAAGGGATGGGGCAGCTCCACTTGCAGCTGTGGCCCCACCTGCAGCCCCAGGAGTGGCAGTGTCTGTGGCTGGGGCAGATTGGGCTGCAGCTGTGCTGGACTGCTCTGGTGCCCGAAGCCGTTTCATAAGGGTGGTCACTCGGACAGCTTTCTGAAAGGAAGATAGTGAGAGAGGCTCAGAGTAAAACTTACAGAAGCTAGATCCATACCTTGGCAAAAGCCAAACCCAGACCATCCGATGGTGCCCCTGGCTTCCTCTGACCTCCCCAGGGCTAAGGACCCAGCTGCTCCAGGACACACACGTCAGATAGTAGCTTAAGCCATAGAGTGGGTGGAGAAAAGCCTGTGTGTGATGCAGGCAAGAAACTGTGGGTGCCAGGAGTACTTGAGATCAGTCCAGGAAAGAGCCATCCAAGCCTTACCTTCCATTTAGCCCTGGCAAAGTTCTTTTCAATTTGGGCACAGACACCATCCTTGATGTTCTTATCAGAAGCAGCATTGCCAGAAATCCTAGAAAGGGTGCAAATGTGTCTGGATCTGAAGGGGTATGGGCCTTCATGGAGAAACTGTCCAGCCCTTTCCTTGTAAGATCCAGGGATTATCAGGCAGACCCCTCTGGGCTGGCCTGAGTTCTGGCTGCCTCCCAACCCCCACTCAAGGCCTCAGGATGGGGGCTGCTAGGTGTGAGGAGGACAAGAGGCCAAGGGAACCCTGGCCTCTCCTCCTATCCTCCCCAGGCTGTGCTCACCACTCATGGGAGATGGCCTCTTCTGCAGTGATCCGCTGGTCTTGCTCCACCTCCATCAGCCTTGTGACCAGGTCTTTGGCTGGGGACAAAGCCAGGGAGAGGCTAGGCATGGCACCCCATCTCACTGTCTAGAGGTGATGGATGGGCTGGGGGGTAGGAGCAGAGTCCAGTAGAGGAAGCTAAGAACAGGTCCCCCACACCAACCCTTCACTCTCTACCCACATTCTGGGCACCTCCTCACCCGCCTGTGAAATGTCATCCCAGTATGGAGAGTCAAACTCATAGTCGCCAGCCAGGATCTTGCGGAAGAGATTCTTGTCATGGTTCTCGTAGTCATCTTCCTCCACCTCCTCATAGAAAGGCGGGTTCCCTGAAAGCCTGCATGGGGGCCAAAGGGCAAGGTCATCCAGGAAGGCCACAGGTACGGGCCCCCACCCCACCTGGCTGCAAGCTTCTTCACTCGCCCATCCACTCACAGGATGTACATGATGACTCCAATGGCCCAGCAGTCCACAGGGCGTCCATACCGCTGCCGGCCTACCACCTCTGGGGCTGCAAACATAGTACCAATTGGCTGGTCAATATCAGGCCTGGCCAGGCCTGGTACCATTCACACCCACTTCCTGGGGAGTTCCTTCCCCCCTACCCAGAGCCACTCCTTGAAGGCTGTCTCCCTCCCTGCCCCTGCCCCCTCCCCCCACTCCTGCTTGCCCAGGTACTCGGGGGTCCCACAGGGCTCCTTGATGAGGCCATTCTCTAGCTTAGCCAGGTGGAAGTCGCTGATGACAATCTTTGAGTTCTTCAGCCGGTTATAATAAACCAGGTTCTCCAGCTGCTCCAGCCCGGAGTGGCATGTGAATGAGCAGAAAAAGACTCCATGAGGAGGGGACCTTAAAGTGCTGCCCACCCCACCCCCAGGCTGGCTGCCAGTTGGTGCTCTGGTCTCACCTTGAGGTTCCTATGCACAATCTTGAGTGAGTGCAGGTAGGCCACAGCCTCCAGGACCTGCCGCACCACATTGCTCGTGTCCCGTTCCGAGTAGTAGCCCTGGTCCAGGATCCAGTCAAACACCTCCCTCCCCGTGGCCCTGAGGGACACCAGCCCCTGAGCCCGGCGTGGGCAGGATCGGGGGTGGGGCAGGAGCTCTTGGGCAGGCTGTCTACACCAGGTAGCTGGCTGGGTAAGGCGCAGGGACCTGGGACCCCAAGGGTCCAGAAAGGGGACTTTCCCTGGCTTCAGAAGGCAGAGGAATCCTGGGACCCCAGGCCCACACTCACAGCTCCAGGAAGATGAAGTACTCCTTGCGGGTCACAAACACGTCCACCAGTTGCAAGATGTTGGGATGTTTTACCCTGGCAGCAGAGAGAAGAGCCAATAAGTTTGGGCTGGGTGAGCCCCTAAGAGAGGCTCTGGTTGCCACTGTGGGCCACAGCAGACTAATTGGCCACAGACTGGTACGGCTTGAGTCCCCTGCCCTCAAAGCCTGGGCCTGCTACTCCCTACTCCATCCACCCCATCCCCAGGGCTCATACTTACATCTTGAGGATGCCAATCTCGTTCTTGGCCGCCTTCCGCACCTTGCGGCCGTCCCGCTTCTGGAACTTTTTGCAGGTGTGCAGCTTGCCCGTGGTCTTATCTTTGGCCCGGAAGATCTCACAGAACTCCTCACTGCAGCCAGCAGGCACCCCACTCAGCCTTGGCCTCAGCATGGGCTGCACTCCACTTCCCTTTCCCCAGCCCTTGCCCACCCACCCTTGCCCACCAGACCAGCACTCACGTCTTGATGACCTGTCCCAAATCATATCTGTCAGTCACCTCCGATGGCTGGTTATAGTTCTTCTTGTCGCCTAGAGTCACACACCCAAACGGCATTGCCAGGCTCTGAGCTGCAGGCAGGATGGAATCTGGCTCAGCTCTACTGCTCTCCACTTCTCCCCACAACATAGAGGTTGCCTCTGGGAGACACTAGGCTGGCTCAGGCCAAGCCAGGGGCAGAGTCTGGGGCAGGAAGGGCCAAAGAGTGGTCAGGCTCACATCCTACCCCTGCTTTTATGGCCACACCTCCAGCCACTCAGCTTGGCTGCCTGAACTACAACAGCCCCACTTATGAAAAATGTATTAAACCGACATATCAGGGAATCACTTTACATTATATACACTGAAAAGAAGATTGATCAAATGATTTCTTTACATTTCAGCCATTTCACAGATGAAGGGGGTATAACTACCCACCCATCTGATAATCATCTCTGAAAGTCTGAAGATGCCACGTGTTGGCAAAGATGTGGAGAACATAAGCAATGCTAGTGGAGGACAAGTCTCCCCTTTGGAAAACAGGTTGCTAAAACTCCAGAAGT